AACCTCCATGTCCTTCAACTTGACAGAACAAGCGCTGTACCCATCAGCGCGAAGAAAGGGTGGCCAGGTCGGAAGCTCATCTTTGTGAATGCTTCCTTGCCCGCCCAACTGTTCATCACAACATGTCTGATCGTGCCAGCATTATGATATAGAGCGGCCTGCACCGTTCAGTGGCGGCACAAGGCGGGTGAATCGTGTTTTTCGTTTTCGTTTTCCTTCGTTCCGTCTTGGCTGCGCATCGGAATCAAAACGAAAGCGGTCCACGAAATCGCCAATACACCGTTTAGCTCGAGCCCTGCTGCTGATGGGTGTCCGCTCGCCGAAGGCAGCGGGGGATCCAAGTCGGACCTGCAGCGGTGTGTGCTCGACAGCGACACCATGACCCGCACGATACCTGGCCGACGGACGAGGCGCCTCCCGCGCGCCGCCGCGTCGGCGACGCCTGCCGCCGTGCGCGCGTCGCAGGGCGTGGCTGGCGGCGCCCCAGCGGCCCGCCGCCGCGAGGCGGACCGCCCCCGTGCCCGGAGACACGAGCTGGAGTTAAAATAGGGCCAGGATCGGGATAAATCGCTCCAGAGCGTTCCGGAGCGCTCTCAGAGCGTTCCGGAACGCTCTGGAGCGGCCGCGGCGCCCAATACATCCTCCAAACCCGCCGATTCTCAGAGATTTCGAGTTATCCCGATCCGATTTTGTCCCGATCTTCGCGTCGTTTTAGGAGTGCCGTCAGGTCCCTTGGAGTCCTCCGTCCTCCGCCCTGGACCAATGCATGCACACGGGGCCCCAAGACCCCAACTTTCCGGCTTTGCGTGGCGCGCCGCGTGCCTCCCGGGGCTCGGCGCATGCTCCCGAGGGGGCCCCGATGCTGCTCCCCCCGCGCCTCCAACCGACAGGAAGGCCGGCCCAGACGAGAGCCCCGCGGCCGAGCCCGACGCCCAGGAGCCCACGGGGCCCCTGGCGCCCGCCCCGCCAGCGGCCCTGCAGAGGTACAACGTCGGGCGAATGGCCGGGCGTGGTTCCGAGGGGCTGCCGGGCAGACAGGCAGTGCACACAGAGGAGTGGGAGCAGTGGAGGGCCGGCAGTCGGGGATGCGACTGGCGGGGGGTGGAGGGGAGGCCCCGTCCTCTCTACTGGAGACGCCGGCAGCACATCGAGTGGGAGCCTCAAAACACCCACGAGAGGGGGGGAGTCTTCCACCGCGAGGGGCGCGTGGAGATTCCCGCTGAAGCGGTCTTCCGCCTGCGGAGGGAAGCTGGCGCCGTGTTCGTCGCAGGGTGGCACGCCTGATGCGATGAGGATGCTGGGCCGAGATGTAGAGCCACCTACAACCCGATGAGGCACCCTGGAGGCAACCCCTTCTGCCAGAACTTCCTGGCCTCCCTACGCTACTTCCAATACGACATTTTTGCCCTGGCCGACAACAGGCAACTGAACGTCAGCTGGGCGGAGGTCCAGCGGCTCCACGTATGGCACACCAGGCAGCCTCACGGGGGCAAAGGCACCAACGGAACGCGTTCGGCAGACTCTGGTTCGGTCGACGCCAAGCGATTCCGGGGCGAGTAAGCCCCTGGCCACTGTCACCTGGTCCGGGCTGCCACCACGGGATCTCTGTGTCTCGAACGTGCCTGGAATTCTCGCGCCTTGTGGACGGCTGGAAAAGGTGCACACGAAGTTCCTCTCTTCAGCTTTTGCACCGATGAGGTGCACTGGATTGCTCTGGCTGGAGTCCTCCCCTGTCGACGGCGAGCAAGGGGGGGAAGTGAGAAGGAGAGCCCTCTCAGAAGGCGGCGGGGCTTCTCAGAAGCCCTCCAGCCTTCTGAGAAGGCTCCCCCCCCCTTTCGCTTCCCCCCGGGCCGGCCGCCGATCCCTGGTCTCCTCCCCTGCTCCCCGCCCGTGCCCCCGGCAGGGGGGGCCCCCGTGAGCTCGCCGAGCTGGCCTCCTTCCCGGGCTCCCGCTGCTCGGCTCGAGCCCCTGCTGGTCCCTCTTCTCCCTCCCTCCGCTCCTTCCCGGCGGCACGCACACGGGGTAGGAGGATCGGGTCGGGCGAAAGGGGGGGATAGCAAAGGGGGGGGGTGAGAATCAGCTCACGTAGCTGATTTTCCCGGCGCCTCCCGGCGCCGGAGGCGGCTATGTATCGAGGAATGGGCCCATCGGTGGGGCCGAAACCAGCTGCATGTAGCAAATTTCGTAACCCCCCCTTTCCCAATCCCCCCTTTCGCCCGGCCCGAGAGGAGGGGGGCCGGCTTCTCAGGAGGCTGCTCTTTCGAAGGCGCCGGCCTCACGTCTGCAGACGAGGCCCGCGCCTTCCAGGAGGCAGGGGCGCCTCCAAAAGGCCTTCCTCCTGCGCGCAGCTGACCTCCGCTCCCTCCCTCCCTCTCCCCCCCCCCGCCTCCCTCGCTCCCTCGCTCCCCTCCCTCCGCTCCTCCGTCCCGCCGCTCCTTCGCTCCCTCTTCTCCCTCCCTCCCGTTCCCCCCCGCCCCCCGCCTCGGCGCCGTGGGCCCCGGCGGTGCTGCGACCTCGCCGTGCTCATCCGCAGGGCCGCGAGGGCATCAAACAACCCCAAGGGTATAAGAAAGCAGTGAGGGTATGCAAAAACCCGAGGGCACCACAGACCCCGAGGAGGAGGGTATAAACACGATGTTTTTGGGTATGCCCGAGGGTCTTCTACGCCCGAGGGTTTTGTTCTACCGCTGCGATTGTGCCTGCCGGTCCGCCTGCCTCCCACTCCTCCTCCTCCTCCGCCTCCTCCTCCTCCTCCTCCTCCTCCTCCTCCTCCTCTTCCTCTTCCTCCTCCTCCTCCTCCTCCACCACCTCCTCCTCCTCCTCCCTGCTTCGCCTGGACACCCGTTCGGCGCGGCAGCTGCCGCGGCCTGCGCTGCGGGGTCGGCCTCCCCTCTGCCGTGGCCTCGCCCGCTTTGGCGGGGCGCCCGGCGCTCCGATCGCCAGTCCACCAGGGCGCCCAACTCCGCGCCCTCGCGCGCGCTGCGCGAAGCGCGAACACCTTCGCGCTCTCGCGCCGCCCCCACAGGGGAGGAGGGGAAAACGAGGAGTGATCGGAGCCGAAGCGCGAAGCGCGAATAACTTCGCGCCCTCGAGGGCGCCCTTGAATCTGCGCTGTCCGGCGAGGCCTGGAACATGGTGCTGCTGCACCTGCCTCGCTAGTGGCCTCGGCATAGGGTTCGATTCTCCGCCGTGTGTGTCGTTGCCTGTGGAATGTTGTCTACCCAGAGGTCCGCCTGGGCATCCGCGTATCCCGTGCAACATATTTTCGGCGGTGAGCGAGGGGAGGAAATGAGAAGGAGAAGGCCCTCTCAAAAGGCGGCGGGGCTTCTCAGAGGCCCTCGCGCCTTCTAAATGATGTTCTGTGTCTTCGGGGACGGCTTAGAAACTTCTCAGAAGGCCGGGGGACGTCCGAGCCGGCCTTCTCACTTCGCCCCCCATGGGTTCGCCGCCGACGCTTACAAGGCCTGGGCTGCAGTACATGCTCTTCGACAAGACCTGGTGTGTGGTGCTGTTTGCACAGCGTGCTTTCTCGGGACTGTCCCTTGGCATGGGGGTCACTTTGGCTGCCTCCCCGCTCGACCTGGTTGGGCTTGGAAGCGATCCCTGAAGGCTCCAGTGTAGCTGGCCTGTGCGCCTGCGCATGTTGTTCGGCAAGACCTGGCTCCAGGCGGCCGGCCGGAGGCATGCCTGCTGCAGCCTGGACTCTCGTCCGCCTCGGCTTCCGCCTGCTCCCCAGGGCCCTACCAGGCGGCCCCTCTTGCCCTTGGCACACGGCGATGCGACAATGCCTCTCGCTGCCCGTCTGCTGCTTCGATGGCACGGCCCGCCCGCTGATCCTGTGCTTGCCGCACACCGTCCGCGGTGCCTGCGGCCGCCTGCGCACCCCTGTCCTGCTGACTCTCGGCGGTTGGGTCTCCTCCTCCCCTTCCTCCTCCTCCTCCTCCTCCTTCTCCTCCTCCTCCTCCTCCTCCTCTTCCTCCTCCTCCTCTTCCTCCTCCTCCTCCTCCTCCTCCTCCTCCTCCTCCTCCTCCTCCCCCTCCTCCCCATCCTTCCTCCTCCGCGGCCGTTCTCTGCTTTCCCACCTGCTGCGCGCGCCTCGCGCTCGGCGCTGCCCGACGGATTCGTCCCCCGCGCTCGTGACCGCCGACTCTGCCGATTGGAACAAGTTCCGCGTGTCTTTCTTGGAGCCAAGCGGGCCCCAAGACGGGCCAGGAGGGCCCAGGTAGCCCTCCAAGACAGTCCAATAGCTCCCCGAATGCCCCGAAGCCCGCCCTAAGACGCCCAAGATGGCCTCCAGACCGCCCAAGAGACCCCCTAAGACGCCCCCCCCCCCCCCCCCAGGAGGGCACCGAGCGGCGAACATCATTCATCCGTTTAATACAGAATTTTAGCGTTCTCGCCTTTTCGGGATTTCGACGCTCCAAGACGGCCCAACAGGCCTCAAAGATCGCCCCACGAGGCCCCCAAGACGCCCCCAAGACGGCCCCAAGATATGCTATAGGGGAGAACACGAACCTAGATGTCGAGCTCTCCGCCTCAAGACGACCTCCGAGACAGCCAGCAGGCCCCTAAGCAGCTCCCCAAAGGCTCCAGAATGCCTTCAAGAGGTCCAAACCAAGCCCCCAGAGGCCCCATAACCAGCCCAAAACCGCCTCCAACAGGCTTTCGAGAGGCCTCCCATGAGACCCCCAACAGCATCCAGGAGGCCTCTAACGAACAACCACGGCACGGTGGCGGAATGTGCCGAAGGCCACGCTCTCTCTCTCTCTCTCTCTTTCCCCTCTCTCTCTCTCTTTGTTCTCTCTCTCTCTCTCTCTCTTCTGTCGGTGCCCGCTCTTGTTTACAAAGACGAGTCAAATCGAGGAGAAGCAGGATGATAGAGGGTAGAGGAAGGATAGAGGAGGGCGAGGGGAACGGGAAGCAGGAGGAGGAGGACGATAACGAGGAGGACAATGAGGAGGCGGAGGACGCCGATCTCAGAGATCGGACCGACGGGCGTCCTGCAAGGTCACGCTGAGCATGAGCCCGGGAAAGGAGTCCGCCACGGACACCCCCTGCGGCAGCCAGTGCGTGCGCGCCAACGCCAGAAGTTCGGAGCGAAAGATGAGGATGAGGATGAGGATGATGATGAGGACGGACGATGATGTTGATGTTGTGGTTGATGGTGGTAATTGGGAAGAGGAGAAGGAGGATGAGGAGGAGGAAGATGAGGAGGAGGAGGAGGAGGAGGAGGAGCGAGGCTGGGGAGAAGTTGGGCGGGGAGGGGGAGGAGGAGGAGAAGGAGGAAGAGAACACTACCGAGACGACATATCAATGCTACTCGGTTGTAGTGTTCTGGGCCTCGGGAAGCCTGGGGGTTGCATCTGGGCACCTGCAGAGGCCTCCAACAACTTCTGGAGACCTTGGGGGGACCTCTGGAGACGAGGAGGAGAAGGAACCCCATGACGACGGCAGGATGAGGATGCTGATGAGGAGGGAGTTGAAGGGGGAAGGGGAGGAAGGGTCAGAGGGGGAATACGGACAAATCTGAGAAGAGAAGGAAGATAACGTGGACGAAAACGATAAGCAGGGCACATACAAGGAGGAGGCGGAGGAGGAGGAGGATGAGGAGGAGGACGAGAATGAGGAACGGGGAGAGGGGGGAGGAGGAGAAAGGGGAGGATCGAGGAGGAGGGGACGAGGAACATGGAGGTGGGGGATGAGGAGGATGAAGTGGAAGAATAATGGGCATGAATGGAGATTCTCGTTGGACAGTTCCGCAAACTTTACGATTTTACCTCGTAGCTATTTTGGAAACTGGGTTTTCGCCTGTATGGTAAGCCCATGGAGCACTTGTCTTTCAAGTGAGCTCTTCTCGCGACTGGAGAGCCTTCTGAAACAAAGGGCTCAGGACGGGTAGCAACTTCGCTGATGCATCTTAAACTTCTTATGATATTCCTCCTCCTCCTCCTTTTACCCCTCCTCCTCCTCCTCGTCCTCCCTCCTCTCCTCCGCTGAATACGATAACTCTTCCTGTCCGCTTTTATTAACAGCAGCCGCGGCGCAGTCCAGCTTCGCAGCGCGGATTGCCGGCGCAAGATGCAAGGCCTTCCAGAAAGGACGGCCCTTGAGGAGGAGGAGGAGGAAGAAACAGAGGAGCACGAATCCACTGCTGTAGAATAATATGAGGATGTGGAATGAGGGGTGAGCGGTGACGGGTCAATGATGATGGTGATGGTTCATGCTGATTTCTGCTCTTGGCGACCTAACCGTACACGCGATGCCAAATTTTTCAACAATGGTGCACGCCTGTATTTGACAAGCAAGGAGTGAAGACAGTGTGCTAAGTGCTAGGCGCAGGACACTTGAACGCGCGAGTTGGCATCAGAGAAACTTTCACGTTGCACATGGATGCTGTCGATGACCTCAACAGCCTGGACGAGGCCTCGGAGCTTCCGAATTCTTGCTGATGCGCCGTCGCCGTTGTCAAACAGTCCAATGGGGCTGGTGCCTGTAGGAAGATTCACTGGCCTCCATTCCCTTCGCCTTGGCAAGCTGCTCCTTCCCCCGTGCACGAGCTAGATGTCGAACAAACGGTTGATAGGACCTACATGTGCGAGTCCAATCGAGCAGCTGTGTGAACACCAATGACTCATCGCCACAAGACTGACAGTATCATTCGTCTGGTGATTCAACAGAAGGTCGATTTCCGCACGTCTGTTATCACCTAGGCTTAGTTGGCAAATCCCATCACATATGAAAGTGGGACGCAACAGCGTGTACGCCCGAACCCTCTGGGAACAACTTCCCACCGAAGATGTAACACGTGCGTCACGGGGGTGTCGAATTGTACCTGCAAGTTCGACCCTGCGAGCTTTGGCTCAGGAGAATCCAGATCGACGGAATCAGCATAATGAGGCTTCAGTCCATCGGCGCCATTTTTATCTCGAAGGTACACGTGTCCCTGCTCCGAATCCCATCTCGCTCTCGGAGCAAACTTTCTGGGACACAATGCTGGACTCAAATACTGGCTGTGAGGAACTACGCACATCAACATATTTAGGTACCAATTTTTCAGTGGCGCAACTGTGTTCCCCAGACCGGGTGGACCTTACTTCTTGATAATGCAATCGATGCACGAGGCAGCTGCGTGGGCCTGCACTTGACGGGCCTTCGACGTACGCTATGTTGCTCATGACCAGAATGACAACGTATGAACGCAACAGCCACCAGAGGGAAACACAAGAAGAACAAGCATGACCACACTAACATCGCAGCCAGCGCCAACTCGGCCGCGCCCCCTTCCCCCCCCGACGTCAAGAGATACCCCCGAGACACCGAGGCCAGCGCGACGGGCCCAGTCCCTGCCGCGGGGCGTGGAAGGGCGAGGCCTCCCCCCCACCAAGGAACAACAGAGGCCCTGAGGGGGGGTGGGAGGGGGGCGAGCCGTGACAACAGCTCTCGCGCAGCCGCCGTCCCCCTCGACGCCACCGGCACCAGCAGGCACCGACGGCGGCCGCAACGAGGCCAACCTCGCGGGCACGCGAGGCCGCGGCTGGCGGCCGCTGGCGCGGGCCAGAGGCTCGCGCAGCGAGCCAGAGCCTGCCGCGCGCTGCGCTCCGGCCTGCGTGAAGGCAGAGGCGCGCGTGGTCGGATGCGAAGAGCAGAGAAGGCAGGTCGTGTGTCGGATGCGGCAGTGCCGACGTCGATGGCCAGCCGCAGTTCCGCTCCCTTCGGGTGCGGTGGCCGCGCGGCGTCGCCGCGCGCTCTGTCGCGGTCTGATGCCGCGATACCTCCGTGCGATCTGTCGCCAGTGACCCAGGGGAAACTCACTGATCGTGTCCTTGGCCCCCGCGAGCTGCCGCGCGGAGCCGTCCGCGACAAGCAGGCAGCCGATGCCACCGCAAGGGAATTCCTTCGCCATGTTTGCTCACGTACTTCGCCTGGAGGCGCTCGAATTTCGCGCGGGCTTCCTCCGCACGGCCGCCGACGTTGTCCAACTAGTCGTCTGCGCCGCCGTCGCCGCTGCTCCTGGCGGCTCCGAAGCCGGTCTTGAGCTCGCACATGGCCTTCGCATCGCAACAGATCCTCGAAGATCGTCTGCCAACCGCTGCCTTGCTCCTGCACCGCCGCGAAGTCGGCGCCGCACTCCCGCCCCCTCCGGGCGCGTCATCGAGCCGCGGCCACGAGCACCGTCCAGTGGGTGCCGCCTGTGCCCACCAGCGGCGCAGCAGAGGCGATGCTCAGCTTCGCCATGAGAGCTACCTCGCTCGTGGGCTTGCCGCTGCCGCCCGCGTCGCCGCCCTAGCCCAGCCTGCGCGCGCGGGGCCCCAGGCGACCTCCAGCTCTTCCTCCAGGCGCCCGCCGGCAGCAGCCCGCGCCCTCCCTGGCTCTCCGACGCGCGCGGGGCTGCCGCCGCAGCAGGAGCGGCGGGCGCGAGGGCTACTTCGCGTGGGGAGAAACCTTTCCGCCGCCAGGGCGCCTGTCCCAGGGCGGCTGGAAAGTTTACTGTACCGTGATGTGCCACCGCAGGAATCTAAACTTTCCAGCCGCCCTGGGACAAGCGTCCCCGACGGCGAGCAGCAATCTATCCCATACCGATCTTCGTCCGTTGAGATACCGTCGAAGCGTGGCGGCAAGAACGTGGGTCGAGAACACGAGCTCCTTCGCCAACGCTCGGCCCGGGCCCCCCCCTGGAGATACCCACAGCGGAGCACACTCCAGGGCGGAAAACCCCAAACGCAGAGAACAGGATTTTTTGTTGCTGTTTTTTTTATCCTCAGCCATGCTTCTCGCTGGCGAACAGCTTCACACGCATTGTCAGGCAGGAAGCTGCAGGCCACATGGCAATAGCTACAATCAGAACATTTGCTCATACAGTGCGGGCGCGATCGCAAGAAACCCTCACAAGCAACCCAACCCAGAGAACCCGTGCGCGAGAACACAGAGAACAGTAAGTGGTACCCCATCCAACGTCAGGGCCGCCCTCGACGCTTGGAGGCGCACAGCGGCTCCCCACGGCAACAATGGGGCCCTGCCCTCGCCGCGCGCGCGGCGCCTCCCCAGCGCCACCGATGCTGCGGATGGCCCTGCTGGGGCCTCGCGCCTCGCTGCAAACATCGAGTCCTGCCGCGGCCAGGAAGCCGCCGCCTCGCCCCGCGGCGGCCCGCGCTGGGGCGCCTCCTGGCAGCACCGGCCACCCTCCGCCCTCCTCCTGCACGACGTCGCCGGGCTGGGCTTTGTCCTCAGCATTGTCAGGGGAACGACGAGCACTGACATAAGCATAAAAACTCGGAGGTCCGCGCGGATTTTTCGGATCAGCGCTCGACCGGCGGCGCCGGAGGCGCCGCCGGGCGGCTCCAGCTCCGATCCGAGAACCCCGCGCGGACCTCCGAGTTTTTATGTGTGTGATTGTTTGTTCCCCTCGTTCTGACGGATCGCGGGGAGGGACGCCCAGCCGCAGCCTGCCACGGCCTCACAGCCTCGGCGCGGGAGCACTCTGCGCGCGCGCCGCGGAGGACCTGCCCACCGCGCGCGATTGTGCCACCTTGAGCGACCGCGGCACTCCGATCGTGCGGATCGCTCGATGTGGTAGGAGTCCGCGCCACCAGCGGCGCTCGATCTTGAGCGCCCCACGCTGGGGTGGCCGCCGCGTCGACGCGACACGAACCCATCGTAGGGGGGGGGAAGGGGACGACGTGAATCTGACTTTTCTGTCTTCCTCCGACGAGCAGCCGTGCCGCGGTGCCCCCACCCCTCGGTCACGAAGCAGAGGTGGCCGCCCAGGCGATCAGCCGGGTGCCAACGCTGCACGAGCGAGCCCCTGGCAGGCCCCCGCGCGAGCGGCGAGCGCCACAGCACGAGCGCAGCCGTGCTCGGCGCACACCTCCACGCCGCCCTGGCCGCTGCCCGGGCCTTGCCCGTCATTGCCCATGCCCGAGCGCACGCTTGCGCCCAGCTGGGCCCATCCCCAGAGCGCAGCTCGCCCGAGCCACAATGGCCACAGGTGGTGATTATGAGTATGGCGGTGGTGGTGATGGTGCAATGCTACGGGCGGCTGGCTTCAAGGCTACGA